GACATAGTCAATCGATTATTCAAGGAGCCTACGATGGTAGATCGGGTGCTGCTCCAAAATCTCTCCAATATAACGATCCCACTGGTAAGCGAATTTATAATTTTTCTTCTCTTTCTTTTTTTTTTTTTTCTAGATTAATATTATAGAAATTATTAGAATTAGATATAACTCAACAATTCAACCGAAACCGCCAAACATCAAATTACTAGAAAATTAATTCGAAATTTCGTATGAAAGGACTGAGAGTAAACTGGAGATCGTACGATCGGCAATCGCGGCCAGCAGCGCAACAGGAATATTCTCAAGCTGCAGCTCCAACCGCGCCAAGAGCATCGCATCGGCAAAGAGCGTCTGCCCCTAGACAACCAGCTCCACCGCCACCACCAGAACCAGTCGCCTTACAACAATCGAAATCTATAGATAACGCTCCTTCTCATATCAAGCATCTTCTTCAGCTCCAAGCTCAACTTCCATACGTGAACATTATTCCTGAACCGTACAGGTAATGCCGAATTCTCGTCAAATCCATTTTCTCGTCGTTATTACTCGTCGTGAACGCTAATGGATATCCAGATTTGTTTGTTGTATCGAGCACCACAAATTTTCCTAGATACGAAAATCTGATATCGCTACAAGGTGCGAATCAACCGCAACCTCAATACGAACCTCGGTACGAGGCCGAGCCCCAAGAAGAATTGCCTCCAGAACCACGGCGTCCGGCTTACCGCGGGAAATCACGTGGTCCAACTAGACACAGACGACAAACGCCGCAACAACAGCATCGCAAACTTCCGCAACCACCAGCCGAGCCACAGATCAAATACTCGCCCAATCTACCTCCTCACCTTCAACAACTCTTGAAATACCAGGCGCAAACACCTTACGTCAACTCGATTCCAGAACAGTACAGGTAAATTTCATCTTGCTAAATTAATCTTGTTAAATTAATCGATTCTCGATTCTCGTTCAAGCGTTTAATAGTATAACAAATTTTGGCAAACGCTGGACATTCGTCAAATTTTCAGGTTTAATCCGGATCCATCCGCTCAGATGCAGCTGGAACAGTTTCGCAATTACTATCAAGATTTGATTAGACAGCAACCAACGTCTCCTGTCGTGCACACAGTGCCACCGGCGGTTGCGCCACCTCCTGTACAAGTTTCACCATCGTCGGATCCATCGCACCATCCAAGAAGACAGAGAAGACAAGCGCCTCATCAATCGCGACAACAGCCAAGACCACAGCCAATACCAGCCGAACCGGTCCCCCAATATTCCACAAATATTCCTGGTCACATTCAAAGTCTGTTGAAGTATCAGGCCCAAATCCCTTACAACATCATTGCCAATCAGATCGATTATCGTCTCGACAAACCGTACGTGCCTCAGCCAGTGCAACCCACTGGACCGCCGCAAGTTCAATATCAACCTTCCGTGAATAATCATCCGTATCAAGGGCAGACGAGCAGCGGCTATCAAAGTCAATTGAATACCGCTTACCAATCGAGCGATCCAGCTTACCATCAGGATCAAGGAAGAGACGCGTATCAAGGCCAACCAAGCGGGTACAGTCAAGTTTACGCTTCTCAACCGCAATATACTCCGCAATATACTCAGGCTCAGCTTGGATACGAGACAGCTGATCAAGGAGTTCGTCCTGTGACCGAGAAGCAATATAATCGAAAATAAACGGGCGTAATTGTTTGTTTGTACCTTGATTTATCGTATTATCGTTCCGTAATTAATTGGAACGATGTTTTCCATTGTTCCGGATATTATTTGATCACACGTTCCGTTTCGCGAGGATGTGTAATTGCGAAAAAAATCATACGCTTTCGCCGAAGTTGTTTCGTAATACTGAAATATTTGAAGGATCTTTATGCACTTTGTTTCGTTTCGCATGCATTAAGTTACTCGTGAAAGTGAAATATTTGATACTATAATAACGTTTTAAATATAATTTATATCTGCTTTTGCTGTTAAGAAGTAATTCTATGTAGGAAAAAATTCTAATCGTATGTACTTTAAAGATTGCAGTATTTTTAATAACATTTTCATTCAAGGTTTATCTTATTATTATTTAGATTTAATAAAAATAACTGCGATTTAATAAAAATAACTGCGTTTTTATTCGTCGAATATTTGCTACTTTTAAATAGCACTCGAAGTATTTATTTAAACGGATAATATTGTTTTCTATTTTGTATACGTATGTAAATGTGATACGAAAAGTGTACTTTTTGAATATTTTTTTTTTGTTATTAAAAAGTCAATTTCACATAAATTTATATTCTTTTCTTCTTTTTACAAGATATTATATTTATCGAAAATTTCTTATACGGAAATATGAAAGAAAAGATTATCTACTTAACAAATTAGAAACACAATATTATTTTAATTATGATTATATGATTATATTCATGATATATTATATCATTAAATAATTTTATGTAATTAAAAACTTAAGTTTCTCTCTCGTTTTAAGATGTCAAAATAATGATTTGTCATTACTCTGAATATTTAAAGTATACTGTTGTAACGGAAGTTATTTGAAATGGATTTCTACATCGGAAATCGGACTTTCCACTTCCGGTGAAAGAGGAAAGAACGAAAGTAACGCGCCATTTTATCTTTGTCGTATAGATTTATTTATAGAGATTTATTTATATATCGTTTTAACAAGCAATAACACTAAATGCATGAGCTTCTTCGATTAATAATAAACAGCTTGTCCATTTTACAGTTTTTATATCTCAACAATTTTCCAATAAAATATTTTTCACATAAATGTATTATTTCGATCTTAATTATTCTGAACTAGGAATCCAAATTTTAAAAAATAACACATATCATAAAACTTAAAGATAAAGATAATCGTATGTATATGATATAAACGCATATGGATAAAATTTATTAAAGAAATAACACTTGGACAAAAACTAGATCGCATTTCGAGTTTTGCGTATATGATCCACTTTCACTCGTTGCTTTTCCTCCGTATACTTAACGTAACTGAGTTAATCGTCTTGACTAACTTTTAACAGCTCAGAAATATATTTTGTAATTTGTTAAATTTCTTTGAAATAAATCAGATTAGCCTCTTCATTGTTCTCGAAATTTTACATCCTGCTAGATTCTTTCTTCAGTACCTACATACGTATTGAAGAAATGGAACGGTGAATGTAGAATTATATACATTAAGGTCAATTCCTTTTACAACTTGTCCAGTCATCGATTAAATCGCGATTTTTTTTTTTATGGAATATATAAAATGTCTTCGTAGAAACTTTGTTCGAGATATTAATGCGGTCGACTTAGGAATACGGAAGTGACCGATGCATATGCTTCCTGCAACCGGTGGCTGTACCGTTACGTGACTAGAAATACGTGTTTTGCTTGGGACATGTTTTTGCTCAATCCATATTTACGTCGATAACAATTTTTTGATTTCGTTCAATTTTAATTTTAATCTCGAATATGAAATATAATCGATTAAAATTATAGAAAAAATTATCGACACGAAAATCTCATTTCTCGATATAATTTTTCAAAATTGAATAAATCTTTTTCCTGACCTTGTAAGAAAGTAATAATAATAATTATTTATCTACAGAAATTTTAAAAAATATTACACGCACGATCTAATAACAACGGGTAAATGAATTAAAGAATTATTGGCAAATGAAATCGATTTCGATTTGAGTAATAATTGATCTCTCGTCAATTAGGGAGCTATCAACATTCGCGTGAATACCTTTTTCGATCAACGAACGAATTCTGTTTTGTCCTCATTTCTTAGAATACGGTTGATCATAATTCAGATAAATTCCAAAGCGTACAGCCTTCCATTCAAAAGGAAAAATCGATCAAACGACTTTCACGTAACTTCGAATTAACCTCTGATATAATGTGCACTCGGGAAAAGCTGGTTCCGACAGCATAACCCAAGTTTTTTACAGAGAAAGTTCATTTCAAACGATCGAGCAAGTTAATTTCTTTCTTGAGAAAAGTTCTTTTAGAAAAGTTCAATCAAAGATAATTATTCGTTTACTTAATTGTGCATAATTTTATAATCGTGCATAATATAATAATCAAGTTGATTATCGCATTCTAATAATTACTTATTGTAATTTGTCATAATGTTTCATTAGAACAGAAGGATTACAGGTTCAATTTATTAAACAAGGCTTGATCAATAATTTGTATTATTATTGGATACTTGATGCACGAAGTGTTTAAGTTGTAAAATTAAACGCAAAAACTATTACACGACTGGTTTTACAAGAAGAATGCTAATCTCGATAGTTAAAAGTAATTACTTTTACGATTTAGTAGCAACAACTTTCTCGTGATTTAAAATTTTTAATAAACAAACGAATACATACAGATAAAAATACCGCATCTTGGAAATAAAATAATTATGAATAGAATTATGCAGCATAATGGCGCGAAATAATAATAAGACTATATAAAACTTTTTTTATATTATTATACAAACTACCTTATTTCATTCATATCATACTTTTCTTACGAATATAGTTAACTGTAATTCCAAGAAACACTCAATGATTCTTGGAAAATACTATTCACAAATTTTCACGATGACCCTTCGTTAAAAATCTTTCGTTAATTCGAAATAAAATAATTATACCAACATCGATATACAAACTCTATCCAGTAAAAAATAATTAAACAGACAAGACTCATCATTTTCGAATCGAATCGTCCAACAATTCCAAGTTTTCCCGTGCGACTAGTTTCCTGAATAACAGTGATAGAAACGTCGCATGCCGTGCATACAGGACGCGTTTGTTACGTGACGAACGGGCGGGGGACTTGGACGGAGAGAAGAAAAAAAAATATATATTCAATCGAAACCGACCAACCGTGAAAGTTAGTGGTTGGCCGGACCACTTACCCTGGAAACGCTCGCCCATATAGAAGTGCGTCGCGACGCGGCCGCCAGTTTCGTTCAGCTCCCATCCCGAAATCGCTTACACCTTCGCCATGAAGTTTCTTTCTGTGAGTACAAGTCGATTTTGTGCCTCCCTTAGACGATTTAATAATTTATTTTCTTTCTTTCTTTCTTTCTTTCTTTCTTTCTGTGAATATTTCTCTTCTATTTTATTTATTTTTATTCTTTTGTTTTTTTTCTTCTTTTCTTTTTTTTTTTTTTGTAAACGATGGTGAAGACAGATTGTGTGGTTGAATATATAAGAGAATCGTTTGTAGGTCATTCGAATTTTTCGTATTCAATTTTTATTTATTATTATGTGTATCTTTAAAGTGATGATAAACTTTTGATAAATTTTAATAATCTATAGTGATGAAATATAATACATTGTATCGTCACTATTTATTTAAAAATTGAATAATTATTAAAAGTTTGTTATTCTCGTTACGTTAAGTTAATTTTATGAAGTGAAGAAATATTACTAGTTTTTAAATAATATACATATACAAATTATTTTAAATTAATTTAAAATATTAAATATTAAATTTATATTAACTTTCTACATAATATATTAAACTTCTCGATACACAGTTTACATTATTTACATTTAGTGTAAAATATCATTCTCGCAGTCAACGGTACAATTGGAAAAATGTTAAAAATTGGAAATAAATTGAACTATTTTCATTCAAAAGTAAAGAATAAAAATAATTAATTCAAACTATTCAAGATTACGTATCTATTACAAATTCACGCTCAATTAATCCTATTCGTGAGAAATTACTTAAACGAGATTTGACCTACATTATTTCTTACAAAGATCTATCATCTCTATAACGTTCGAAAGGCGTGTATTTACGCCTCGATATACGCCTATATCGAGTATTTCTATCCTTTCCCTTCATGAGAACTCACTACTTTATTACTATTCGACTATGCGCGCTTTGTGCGCAATAGTGTGCACCGTGAGAGATCGGTAAATTGCATTAACCAACTTTCTCAAACGCGAACCGATTTTTCTCTCCATGGTTATCCGCAATTTTCACACGTTCCCGCGTCTTTATGACATTTAGAGGAAAGAGAGAGACGTTTCTATTTCAGTGTCATTACGTTCGTTTTACTTTACTTAAATAGGTCACCATAGAGAGAGAGTGAGCTTTTATTGTTTCATTTTATTGGAGATAGAAAGTCTCGATGTGTCGACTTTAGAAATCGATGAAGACGACGATAATTTAAAAAGTTAAAAGTTTAATTTAAAAGTTAAAAACTAAAAGATTTTTTATTATGTATCTATCTATTTCACAAGCAACGGTATCCACTGTAAGCAGATATAAAATGACGAGAACTTATCCAATAAATAAAATCTATTTAAACGCTATTACTATTTCATAATGAAATCGTTCGACCAGATGTTTGAATTGATCAGATATTGATTAACGTTATATAAATTTCAGGTTTTAACATTAGCTGTAATTATACCTATTTACGTCACCGGTGATGCGTTCGGTGATCTTTTGGGACAAGAAATACAAGAGCCAACTATCGGTAAATTTTATTCCTATACTTTCAACATAAAAATAATTCTTCCAAACTTGATTCGTGAATACCGTTGAAAAAATTTTCAGCCCATATCCGCGAGAAGAGGCAATCGGGTCACTTTCGTACAGTGAACCAAGCACCACCACCTCAGAACGCGCAACAATCCCGTCCACCATTGGTGCCCGTTCCACCGCAACCAATTCCAAAACTGGGTCCATCTCAACCCATCCAGCCTCAGCAATTATCACAGGCGCAGGTATCTCAGTACAAACCGCAAGTGACATTCGCCTCGGGTGTCCAGCAACCGGATTACAAATCGATTCCAGTGAACAGTGGTCAATACAAGAAACCGATTCTTCCTCAACAACCCCAGTATCGTCCTCTTCCTCAGCAACCTCAGTACCGCCCTCTTCCTCAGCAACCCCAATACCAACCCCTCCCTCAGCCTAGTTATAATGCAGCTCCGCAATACAACAGCAAACTGCCACCCCACATCCAGCAATTGCTGCAATTTCAAAATAGTTTGAGTAACACGATTCCTGGAAAAGCATAATAGGATTTTTGAGAAAATTTGAAACTTTTAAAACTGTATATGTTCATTGTTTCATTTGTACATTATTTTGTTATTCGAGATTCGTAAAATTTGATAAAGAGTGTAAAATAGAAGATTCGATTGTTGTTTCTTGATAAGGGGGAACTTTTTCAGTTTTTAACGAGCACGGTGTGTTCAATTTTAAACGTTAGAATTTGTAAAATAAAATTAAAGATTCGATGATGAATTGTATTTAATCAAACGTTGCAATTGTCAGAAGAATCAAATTAAATTAACCAGTCTCGTTACACAGAAATACAAATTACATATAACCAATTATTAATATACTTTAATCATTATAATTGATGTTAATTATGATGTTAATTATTACAAAAAAGAAAAATACAAATGATTATTGCAGATTCTTCGAAAACAGACTTATATACTTAAAAAATTTTTTCACCGTTCAATTGATTGTATCGATCAATCAATTGCTTCGACAGTTTCATTGATCCAAATTTAAACAATAAAGATAATATTTTGGAAAGTATATAAGAATCGATCGATTAAGTTTTAAACAATTTTTATATCACTAATATTTCCTTCCACCAAGCAAACGGACTCATCATCATGAAAGAACTGGATTCGTCCAAGCATACCAGAAGGGGTTCAAGGTGGTACGGTATTACGTCAAATTACGTCGTTAAACGCACCGTTTCGCATTAAGCGCACTCAATTCGTCACTCGAGAAATCAAGGTATCATCGCACCGATGGATCCGCACAAGGGGCGGGTTTTTCAGCGTTACGGGACGTGACGACAGGGTAGATCCCCCCTCCCCCTCTCCTTTATCGTCGCCCCATGCCCGCGCGACAACCCACACGTTGCAGTATCCCTCCCGTCCCACCCCTCCTCCCCGGATAGAGAAGCGCAGCCCTAAACTGTGCCCTGTACCGCAGTCACACCACCCTGTGTCCCCGATTTTTACCTCCTTGCATGCCTTGAATACGACCCCATGGATGGACTCACCGACAAACAGGGAAGAGGATTAGCGAGTCCATTAAAGTCGCGGACTCTATTATCCGGAGGGCACGGCCACGGTGACATCAACCGACTGCCAGTGGCGTAGCAACGTAGTTTACCTCTTACTAATAATCTTTTTCTTTTTTTCTTTTTCCTTTTTCTTTTTTTTTTTTTTTTTTTTTTGATTTTCTTGAATATCGTGAATTATTTGATTTACAGTTATATTTCAGGGATTGATCAACGACCTCTTTATATCATTTATCAATTCGTAATAGGGATGATGGAGAAGTAAGAACGTTTAATTGATTAATTAATCATGAATTATTAAACTATCAACTCAAATAAATATGTTAAAAAATGAAGCATATTTTAGATATCATATAGTTGGCCACTAATGAAATGATTCCTCTTCTACTTTGTGTGTGTGCGCGTGTACGAAAAGAAGGTAATGTGGAATCGACGCCATTGGCAGGGTGGTGGGGCGAGGGGTCACGGAGGCAAATTACAAAGGGAGGATTACCGGCAGCTGGGCTACCAAGCAACCATCTCTCTTCTGGCTCTTGCTCGCGAGCCATCCATGTCGTTCGAGAGCTCTTTGTCCTTCGACGCATTGGTAACATAATTATCGGAGTTATAGCAAGCCAAAACCCAAGCCGCATCTGAAGGGGTCGCCCTCGGTTACGAGCTGACACCGCGTGCACCAGTGGACCTTGCTCTTAATTTGCAACACGTTCTAAACGTCCTGGTTTCGAATCCTTTGGCCGAGGGTCGTGATTTATCCAGTTTAGGAAATATTTACGAGATGAACTCGTAATACTTGTAATACTTAAAAATACTTGATTGACTTTAAATTCGTTCGCGAAGGGTAAAAGAAATTTCTTAGTTCTGAATTTAAAATATGTTTTTACGAATATTAATAATGTACATTTTTACAAAATTATCTACGAAAGTTTGATCATTAAGGAGACGAAAGAGAAATAAGTATCGACATATATTTTTAATTATTTTTAGATAATATTTTTTAAAGACATAATTCAATGAAATAACGAATTCGTACATATATATTCAAATACAAAATAAAATTCAATTGAGGAGGAAATAGATATCATCTATTCAGATTTTGCATTCTTCATATACGTTTACACGTACAGAAACCTTAAATGCGAATCTGGCGAAAATTTCATTCGAAATAATTAATTCTTCTACCGCCATCTGGCTCGTTAAATCTCACATGAAAAGCAATCAGACCATATACGCACACTTTCCAAGCCTAATTACCTTTCCAACCCGATACATCGAGTATCTAATACTCGAAACAGACTTTGCATACCTGTGTTTCGCAACAACACGATTTGCCGCAATCGCCGTGTCACGTTTTTGCAACTCGTTCGAACTCGAGGACACACGCAGACAACGAAACGTGGGGTCGAACGTTCATTGTTCGAACGGTGAATGTCTATTTGTGACGAAATTGTGAAAGGAGAGCTGAATATCCGCGAATTCGCGAATCACGCGATTGATAAGAAATCACGATCACAAGAAACAGATAGAATCTAGCCCATCGTGAGAGATTTAGAAAACTTTCTATTAATGATCATAGGAAGGTAGGATATTCGTATTGAAGGGTGCGAATCCAGCCCAGGATTTGTCGAGCTAATGTCGTTGCTCGATTTTTTCATTGGGAAGCGGGAGAGTTAATAACTTTCATAACAAGATATAGAAGAAACGTGGGAAACGGGTTGCGGTTCGCCAATGTGTTCCAATAATTGCGCTTAATCCTTAGGGTCGCGGCACGCGGCCACCAATCGCAGGCAAATCCATGTCAATCCACTCCGTTCCACCCTTTCTTCGCTTCAAGTTCAAGGTTCCGTCAAATTCTTTTCCTACGTTCGAATTATTGTAAGATTATTTGAATAATTTTAATTTTTAATAAAATTCAATATGACAAAATTTCACACGACGATTTGTTCCTCGCGATATTATATATACGTATATTGTATAACATATATTGCGATATAATGGAACTCTGGCGAAGAAAAGAAAATATGAAGAAATTTATTTCCACATAATTGTAAAAATAATTTCCTAGAGATTTTATATATTACTAATTTAATTTCTATTTTAAAATATTACTTAAATGGTTTGAAACACGTATTACGTAATATCGCTTTATCAGAAAAGAAAATCTTAATTATCCATTTATTATATTATCAAGATCCACGAGTATAATATTCATCTGTGCAACAAAACAACATTCCAACTTTCCACTTAAATAAATGTGAAAGTGAATTACACGTACGCGTGTAATGCTCAAATGTCTTTTATTTATTTCGAGAATACTCTTCGATTCACGGAAATTAATTCGTTAAATAACTCAATAAACAAAATTCATAGAGGAGTGAAGGTACAAAGAGAAATAAAGCACAGAAAGACAAGAGAAGAGAAGAAAACGCACATCGAGGATGAATCCCGAAACGATACCGATTTCGAGACGAGCCCCCTGACCCTTTTTTTCAGTACCGCGAGACCATTGTGAAAAGAAGCTAGACCGGAAAAATCCAGCATGGCCGACCAGTGACGGGGGCCAATCGTTGCGTGTTCCGTGGCCAGCTGCACATCCCTCTAAGGGGATCCAGATATTTCGACAGTCGTCCCTTCTTCTTCGCTTCCGAGACGCCCTAACTTTCTGATTTTTGCCTTACGAAGTCAGCCATTGTGAACAGACCCGTTTCCCTTGAATATGAACGGGGGCCTCGTGTAGTGCGTGGATCCTTCTTCTTAAGCCGAGAACATAACCACCGTTCACAACCTTTCAAATCGTCCGCGCTACACACGCGAGCTTTTTGTCGTCTTAATCGTGCCTTTGGAAACCATGATGTATGTCTGTTTTCGTATGTTGCCAACGCGCTGTGAACGAAAGAGATTGCCTATAATGGCACAATGGAAGGGGAGGAAAATCGAGACTATGGATTTTTCATGTTTGCAAAGGTATCGAAGGTACTGGAAGATTATTTATATACGGAAAATTGTACGTGTGTGTTTTGGAAACGATAATCCTTTTCTTTTTCTGGATGAATAAATATTTTATGCGTTATTTTCGATGATTCGAGAAGAGAAATCTTTCGAATCTTTTAGTTTCTTATTCTATGAAGATATCTATATATTTCGTTTGCATTGTTCAATATCCATCATGAGGAAACGCCTTGTTCGATTTTTATTTGTACGTTCCCAATATATCAAAGTATTCCAACTTAACTAATTTTTGAATCCAGAATTTTCCCTCTGCAAACAAGAACAAAAAGAATATTAGAAAATTATTACAATTTACATAGTTCTCATATATATAAATCACATTATAAATCAATCCTTTTCTTGTTCCTCTAGAATGCTTTTCTAAAATATTCGACAGGTTTACACCTCGAATCGCCTTCGGATGCACCTGCCACGCCCAACAATCCGTGCTTAGGTTCGGCCAATTTTAACAATTAAAGTCAATAATATCGGGAAACAGATTAGAAGGTGGACGATTATCTTGGCTCCTGGTTGAGAGAGAGTCGGTAGTTGGGTTGGAACTAATAGCTCGAGCTATGATGAGATCCTCCCCCGTTTGTTCTCGGTCCTTTTAATCCGACGACGTGGTTAGCACCATCTAATAAATCCATAACGGCGGACACCTGTGACCGAGTTTTCTCGGCCCGAAAGGATACCGAAATAATGCCGGAAGGGTTCTCGTCTTAGCTGCACTTTGAACGGAAGCCACGTCAGGTGGAACGAGGCTGTGGACCCCCTGCGGCACCCCTTAATGCACTTTCACGTTAGTTAGTACGTTTCGTGCGACTGTTGCCCCTGCGCACGTTCTCCGGAAGGATCATTGAGGAAATCGTTAACGCGAGACCTGTTAACCGATTAAAGGGGTTCGTTAAGACGTTAGCCCTGATTTCGTGTTGAACGAGTTAATTATCACGAAACTTTTGTTAATAAGTGTATACAGGGATAAAA